ATGTATGCATATATGTATGTATGTATGTATGTATGTATGTATGTATGTATGTATGTATGTATGTACACATACATACATACATACATACATACATACATACATACATACGTACATACATAAACTCATATGTTATACAATATATATATATATATATGTATGTATGTATGTATGTATGTATGTATGTATGTATATATATATATATATATGTGATCTGACCCGATTTGACCGAAGGAGAGAACGCTTGAGGCCTCGCCGACTGCCACAGAGAGGCGATATCGAGCGGGTCGGTCACGCCTGGTCCACAAATGGTTCTACGCCAACAGCTCCTTGCTTGACGTGTTAGCTGCGCGTCTACGTATGCTTGTGCTCAGCCGTGGCACAGATCAGCGCGACATCGACAGACGATGCCTCGGACAGAAAGCTTGCCGGGCTCGGAAAGCATGCGGCCCCGCGGCGAAGTTTCAGGTTTCAGGAGGCCTGTGATACAGCATACCCAATGCAGCAAAATTTAGCAGATTTTAAGTGTATTTGCTCCGAGGATGGCTCTGTCTGACAGTTTTTCGCGCCGCCTCACCTACGTCCGGTCAAGCAGGCCACACGAGCGGCCACCTGCGAGCAAGCTAAAACCGGACTGAAACCAGCCAGACTGGTTGATTTCTGTCCAGGATATGTATGTGCTAAAGATCTCGATCTCGCTATTCTGTAGGCGAGACAAATCAAAACTGTTCTTTCTGGCCCGTGCTGTGAAATCATGTCGAACCACATGCAGGCTAAATTAAGAACCTTCCGAGAAAAGGCTGGCAAAATCTGAAGCCGTGTAGGGCATGAAGAGCTCTCCAAAGCAATTTGGCATCTTACGGAACCGATGTCCACCAATGTCCTGCACGAGCATGTCGTGGTATTTGGTCATGTGAAGCTGGTACAAGCTCGCGCGGGAACTTGCTGGTGGCATCCATGTTCGCTTCCAAGCTTGCTCCTTCTGGATCACCGACCAAGGATAAATAAGGCACTAGTACCCCTACGCCCCTACGGTCTTTTCATATCTATGTATACTAGGTACGAGCGGCCAGCGTCTCCTTCTGGATCACTTTCTCCATGGAACCCGGCTTCGGCAGCCTCATCTGACCTGAGAGCATCTTCTGAAGCCGAAGGGCCTGGAGGCCGTGCGTCAAGATATTGTTGAAGGTGGACACCTCGCAACCAATAAAGGCCACATCCGGCACCTGAGGCGGGATGACGTTGCGGTAGAGGTACAGCCCGTCCTTCCGAATGTTGAGCTTTTTCTGGATGACCTTATCGAAGATATCGTAGTTCTTCGCGAAGCCTGTGCCATAAACCACCAGGTCTGCATCCAACTCTTTCCCATCGACCAGCACGACACCTGTTTCGGTGAACTTGTCGATTGCGCCACAGATTGTCTGGATTTTCCCGGAGTTGAGCATGTCTCTGAAATCGTAATTCAGGATCTGCCCACCACTGAATAGGTCAGTCTCAACGCCTTCCTCGGGAATCATGCTGCTGGGAATCCGGAACTGGCCACGGAACATGAATTCGACAGCGCGCCACCACAGCCACTTCACCGGAGCACAGGTACCATGGAGCCATGTAGAAGTGGCGCCTTCTCCGTGGTGAGGATGCAAGAACCAATGCCCGAAGCGGCTATAGGTCGCGTACTTGCAAGGGACCAAGTTCAGCAAGTAACGTGGCACCGGCCAATGCCACGACCTGCACACAAGGGTAGTTCTTCTGCCAACAGCCGCCCACGTTATCGGACTTCTCGAAGATGGTGCAAGAGATCCCAATCTCCATGAGCCTTCGCGCCACCTGCAGTCCGGCGACTCCGGCACCGATAATGGCGACGGACTTCACATGACCAAAGTCGTTCTCGACTGCTGGAAGCACTGCTTTTGCAATGCGGGCGCAGAGCGTTTTGGCCTCCTGGGTGGTGGGGTGCAGGAGCTCGTGCATGCAATTCACGAACTCGTCCTACAGTAAGGGTTCTGGGTTTAGCTAGGGCAGCTAGGGAATCAGGTTGAGGGCTTAGGGTTTAGAGCTCGGGGTCCTGATCCAGGATCCCGTCATGGTTGTCGTCGATCATCTGAAAGACACGCCCCAAAATTGCGGGATCGTCCAGGCATCCGAGCTGCTCAGGGAACTCGCGGGCCAAGGACTTGCTTGCATCATACCAGGGCGTCACTGGTAAGACACCACCCTGAGCATGCTGCAGAAAAATCTCGGCCAGAACCTGCTTCTCAGTGCCGTGGTACTTAGACACAGGCACCGGCAGCTCGTCATAAATGTTGAAACCCATGGCGTGGGGTCTTCGGTTTCGGCTCGCCACTTTAGGTTTGAGCCGGCACTGCTCGGGCTCAAGCCTTCGGGCTTGGCATATGGAGGAACTCTACATGCGATCCCCTGCCATGCATCTTTCCAGTGGCACGACGACTTGATTAACCTTTCCTTGACACCTAAAGATTAATGGCGCTGCTTCTTGGTGGGAACTCTTATAGAGCAGTCCGGCTACATCGAACGAATGCTGAGTTGACGATGAGCGGTGCAGAGAATCTGGACCTGACAGCACTTCTACCAGGAATTGAAGTTTCAATCTATCTACAAGCTCTGCTCTGAGTTGCCTGAGCTGAACAGATGAGGAGTGCTACTCTTGGGCTCTGTTCTCACACATTCAATGCTAATCACAGACCCTTCAGTTGCATTCAATGTAGCTCCTGCGTCAGCAACACTCGACACAAGAGGGGAGCATCCGGAAGACGGGAGTTTCGAAAATCCCTCTGAAACTTCAGAAACACCGACAAAACCTACGGAAAGATGGAAAGCTGAACCCGGGTAAAACTCCAAAATCCGTCGAAATCGACCATTCAGAACCCCCCACCCCGTTTCCGTCCCAGCGACGACTCCCCGCAGCCAGGGCCATCGGCTTCGACAGCAAACGAACGTAGACGGTGGACCAGGACGAGTCCTGTTTAGGGTTCAGGGTTTAGGGTTTCGTGGTGGACCAGGACGCGTCCTTTCAATGCAAACATCTCTGCCCTTCATTCAATCTGCCATACACAGCTTGTCGATGCGAACACATCTGTACGTATTTATGTACGACACAGTCTTACCGAAAGCCGCAGTGCTCGCACTTGCAGGGCGAAAAGAAACTGCGAAGAGAAACGTAATCGTGGTCATGGTGGTAGCAGGACAAGGAGGGCCTGAGCAACACTCGTGGGAGACATGTTGGCGCTTGCTTCGACGCTCATGCGAGCTTGAAGTTGGGTTCAGGCCACATACCTGTGAGGATTTGCCGCCTACGCATCGCTATCCCAACGTTGTGAGATTTTAGTTTTGAGTTTGCGATGAACACAGGTGCCCCTGTTGCGGCCACCGATTTGCCAAATTCTGTGCAAGGCGCCGAGTCTGGCCCACTATGAGCTCCAAGGACATCGATGCCTCAGGAATTTAAACCAGACAGATGAAGCAAACGATTCCGGATCGTCGGGATTTGCTGATGCTTGGATGCTGTGCCTGGTAAAACTATAATCACATCAAAATCGGTCGGTCTTCCCAGAATATCTTACCAAAGGCGAGCAGCTGTTTGCGCCGTCCAGGTCCACATGCAGATGCATGTGCACGCCGTCGAAATCACCCGGCCTTGTCGTCCTGCCACTGCGCTCAAGCAAGAATATCGCAGTGGGGACGGATGTGTGTGGCTGGTGGCAGAAGGAAGCAGCGTTTCCCTGCAGTCGTTTCAAATTCGTGCCCTGCTCCACCGAGTCTGGCTTTTGTGGTCAAAGATTATCCTCTTGGCTTGGTGTTTCCAAAATCTCACAGATCACATCCCACCATGATGCCATAGATAGAACTAGACTCTGCTAACACCTAAACCCCGAAATAAGTCGGTCCTGAACTCCAGCGTCCGCTCCTGAACCAGGATCTTGAGAGTATAGGGAGCCGAGGCAGAAGCAGCACTTGTTATGTTAACAAGGGGACACTGCCATTGCCGTACAATTCCACCGAGAACACTTTTCATCATGGTGGATGTAAGATGTAGGTGTCAGAGAAAAACCGACGGTGTACTGCAACTGGACTCCAGACAGTGCAATGCGATTTCAAGTCTCACACCGAAGTACGCATCTTGCCAATGAGACCCGAAAAAGTTGCTCCGAAAGCGAGGTTCGATCGCATTGCAATGGGCCCTGAACTTGTCTAACTGCTTCCAACCAATCTTCAGGCTAGTTTTTGCTGGCAGAGTCACGGAGGCTTTTCGACAAGCTGCGTCTTGATTAGGTATCTCTGTGTGGGGCTGTTCACGTTGCCCCTTTGCTCCCGGCAGTTTCTGTGTGTTTGTTCAGAACCTTCAAATGAGGTTTCTGCAAAGGTGTTGTCAGATGTAGCTGCATGAAAATCATGCTTAGATCAGGGTGGGTAAACACTCTCAGACGCTCCTTTAAGGGTACCCGTAACGGTATTATACTACGATTCCTATAAGGGATATACCCTGAGTTAGAGTAGGATCCCTACTATCTATTCGACTGTGTCGTTCACCCATCCTATCGCGCGAGGTTCGGTTCGCCCGGTTGATCTCCAAACCAAGAGTCCATCCTCGGGTTCATTCCACACTTCGGTGGAATTTGTTTGCACCCCTGACTTTGCAAAGAATGTTGCTTACTCCAGCCGTTCCGTGACATCGCGCAACCGACCTCGTGACGTTCGTCCGCTTATACATTGGCACGAACAAGACCTGGAATGTGACTTGTTGCGGCTGTTCGAAGCTAGGGCAAGCAGCCGCTAGACGCCGCGTGATTCTCGAGTAGTGGTATTGGACTGGCCACGAGGTGGGCGAAACCTGATATCAACACTGCCCATCTGGTTGGTTCAAAGGCACAAATCGAAACCTGGCATCTGAATCCTCCTCCACGCCTCCTAGATCTTGCATACCCACTATTCCAGACCATTCCAGGAAGCTTCGGGGCCCACGTCAAGGCTTAAAAAAGCCTATAGATGTCCATTGTCCTGCAGCAGCTGGGGCCCCTTCGCGAAGTCGAGGAGCTCAAGGGCCTCTGGAAAACGGATGAGGCATGGTAGGCGAGGCAGTCCGAACAGTGGCCATAAAGAATGGTCCTGAGCATCGTCACCACCACAGGCAGCATCACGGCCACCCGCATCATCATCGCCGCCATCAGCATCATCATCATCACCATCATAACCGTCATAATAATCTTCCTGCGCATCCTTATCTGCGTCATCATCATCATCGTCATGACGATCACCATCTTCATCATCGTCATCATCAGCAAAGTCATCATTCTCGAGAGCAACATCATCGCAACGTAACAGCCTTCACCAACATCATTTTAATCAATGTCGTCATCGCCCTCGTCAAACCATCAACATCATCATTATCGTCACCATCAGCATCCTTGCCAGCCCTTACCACCATGATCGTCATTGGGCGGTCCTGTTGATGGATGTTGCAATGTTCCTTCGCTTCTCCAGAGTTCTCCAGGACATATTTGTGCTTCTCGGATCGGTAATTGCAACAGGATGCACGCCAAATTCTCCGAAATTGTACCGACAGCTCAGGAAAAGTCTATACTAGTCTGTACCCAAATTCAAGCTCGAGGTGAGAAGCTTCATGAAGATTCAGGAGGTCGGAAAGCCGTGTCGTCACCGACACTTTGTGGGAGCTTTCGACGTAAAAGTCAAGCTCAAGCGAGAGCAATCTTCTGCCTCATTTCCTGAAGAAAGTACACACAGATACACGTGTACCCATGGACTTCAAGCGACGTCGGGTGTGAAAATAAATGGCTCCTGCAATCCCAAAGTGACTCAGACGCTCTGCAAGGCTCTGTAGCTGCATGGACTGTCAATATCAGCCGGGGCGAAGCACTTATTATTCATGTTCTTGGGTTGATCTGCCTTCGTTCATAACTTATGGGCTCTATGTTCCTCCGGTAGCACGAAGCCCCTGCCTGGGCATCGGCCAACAGTGCTGCGGATGGAAATCGTCGAGCACTATGCCGAGTGAGAGGCCTTAATTAGTTCATATGTATATATATATATATCGTCGTCATGGTCGCTGCCGTCGTCGAGGTGGTACTCACTGCAGTTGACGCACGCGTAGCAGTGGTTCTAGAAATTAGGTCGGCAAACAGTTCTGCAATCGTTGGCCGATAGAGCCTATGTACACATATGTATATACATACATACATACATACATACATACATACATACATACATCCATGCATGCATGCATACATACATACATACATACATATGTAATACGAGTGTGTGTGTATATATATATATACATATACACATACACATGTGTACATAAATTATGTACATATCGTATGTACACATACATTGCAAAACACGCATACACACATGTGGTTTGTACGTCTAGACAGAACAGGTCATGTTAGACGTACTTATGACTAAGAATTAAGAACACATGCGCAAGGGCGCCCTGAATCATCAAACCACGGCAGCTCGAACCCTTCGGGCCTTATAGGAGTAGCAAGAAGCTACTTACTGCGCACGGGGCCTGTATGCCAAAGCGGTTGCAAAGATTCGCCATCAAGACCGTGAAGCCACTTCAGCAAGCACCCTGAATCCTATTATTTCAATAGGGTCTTGGGGTATATTATAGGATATTTACAATAAGGAACCCCCAAAACAGTATAGGTAATTATTAAGGCCCCTTTATTAGAAACCCAAAGTCCCAGAAGCACCTCAATCCGGCTCATGAAACTGTGAAATATCAAAGAGTGTGTGTGTGTGTGTGTGTGTCTGTCAGTGTGATTCTGTGTGTGTGTGTGTCTGTTGGTTGCTGTCGGGTTCTGCAGAAACTGCTCCAAGGCACTTTATGTCGCCATCCCCACTGTGCCCAAGCCGATGCACCAACTTCTCCTCACATGTCCCACTTGCCGTGTTTTTGATTCGGAGACTTCAACACTGCAGCACAGAAGATGCTTCTGGGAAGCCTCCTGAAACGCTACCGGCTGCTGCCGGGAAGTGTTGGACATGTTGTGTTGGACGTTGCTGGCACGCTTGGGATGCAATTCTCCACCGGCCGGGTTATCCGGAAATGCGGCAGTTTACCCTCGAGCATCGGATCCTCTACTTGCAGCAGCCATGTGCCACGGGTCACATTCCTCAAAAACGAAAGAGCGGACTTAAACCAATGCGTTTCAAAACCCAGGAACCTTAGACCCAAACAAGGCTCCATAGTAGTGCGATTCAGCACTTCCGTCGGGGCCAGCAATGTGGAGGAAGCTCTCCTATGAGATCGAGACGTGGCAAGAGCTTGAGTCCTAGGTAAAGTCCATCAGACCTGGCCACAATTGTCAAGAACAATTCTAAGAAGCAAATTGCAACCAGCATTGATGTAGCCAGCTTATATTGCAAGCCTTGCTCGAGAAGTCCCAACTTTCATCTGGATAGACTGCTGGACGCAGATACTCTGTGTTTCGTGCAGCGGGAGACTCAAACAAGCATGATATACTAACAACAGTAGCAGTACCAATAACAACTACGAATGAAGCCAATGACAATAAGAATAGCAGAAATCACTGATCGCTCTAGTAGTCACAGTACAATTTTGGCAATGATGCTGCTTGCAGCCGATTCGCATCAAGAACAGTTGAGAATGACATATACTGACTAATAGTCATACTAACAACAACTAACCATAACACTTCTGAAATAACAGTTATATACCTCTTAATATTGAAATTCACTAGATGCCAGAACTATACCTGCTAATTAAGAGGAAGGCCGAAGGGATCCATGCTCTTTTCTTTGGGCTGCTTCCCGGCCGTCGCAACCGCCGATGTTCAGGGCGTAAGGATCCCTAAACCCTAAACCCTAAACCCTAAACCCTAAAGCTTAAACCCTAAACCCTCAAGCCTTATAAAGCCTAAACCCTAAACCCTTACAAAGCCTAAACCTAAACCCTAAACCCTAAACCCTTATAAGGCCTAAACCCTAAACCCTAAGCCCTAAAGCCAGTAGGGATTTTGGAGCTTGTGACCCGTTGGGACTCAGGTCTCAGGACTGGAGCCCCCTTTTTTCGAAAGAACCGAGACGCTTAATATAGGGGCCTTAGTAATTAGAACAGGGTTTAGGGTTTAGGGTTTAGAGGGTGGCTTAATATTTAGAATATATATATATATATATATATATATCTTGCTTTTTTTTGGTGGTGGGGGGGGTGTATTTTTTACTATAATTAAAACAAGAAACCCACAAAATAATGTTGATACTTACTTATTTAGGCTTCTAGAGTAGCTGGCAAAGAATGCATCCGAGATACGGGATGACGACAGAGTCCTGTGATACAGGGTCTCGACTGCAAGGTCTAGGATGTGGGGTTCGGAGTTTGGGGTCATGGGCGTTAGGATTGAAACTGCCTCAAAGGAATGGGCTGCCTGGGTCGTCTCAGGATCATGTATGCTACAGCCCTTCTTTAATGGACCGCAGTCAACAAGAAGTCAGCATCTTGTTCGGGAGATGCAGTCCTGCAGGATCTTGCCTACATATGTTCGGTAGATGGAGATGAGCTAAGCAGAAGCATTGAAGTTGCTAACTGGGGAGTGAGTGGCTGTGGCTCAAAGCAGGAGCCCTCCTTTTGTTCAGGGCTGCAGAACGGTGCGCAAGAAGAGAAGCCCAAAACCAGTCCGGGGCAAGGAGGCCGCGCTGGTGAATGTCGTCCAGCACCAGTGCAGCATCCTTGACAGCAGCTACATCTCGTGGTTCACTGCATGTGCATTTGTAAGCTGGTGTAGAAACCTGTGTATGCTGTGATGTGTGTTTGTGCAGCTACAAAGAAGCCGACAGACCTGTATGAGTACGCGATGAATGCATTGGTTCATCGGCATGCGTCTCTGTATACAAGTGTTGGCGAGCAAACCCGAGGCTGGAAGCTGTGTGCTTCAGCCCATCACGAGTTTTTGGCTGGGTCTGCGCAGTCAGCAGTCAAAACCCTCAAAGCAAGCAGAGTGTCTCACGCATCATTGCTAGGACCATGATAGATCAGATATATAGTAGTGCCTTTTGGAGTGCTGCATGACGGCTTTTGCATCAATCGTGACTGATTCTACTGCTTTTGCTTTTTGTCACGAGCATTCTGCGTTTTCATGACTAAACTCAGAAGGACAACTTTGGGACGATCCAGTTCGAAAAAGCTCACTTTGACTCCTGTGTTGGGGATGTCAACGTGCAAGTATAGTATAGTATAGTATAGTATAGTATAGTATAGTATAGTATAGTATTGTATTGTATAGTATACGGTGCAGTGGCATGGTAGTCAGAGCCTAGCATGGTATGCAATGCATAAATCAATGGTAGCTGCTGGCACATGACTTTGCAATCCAACTCCGAAGGCTCTCGAAATCGCACAATGTGCGAACAGCAAAGATCTGCATCGCAGGATTTCCGCCTGACATTAAAACGAGGGTTTAGGGTTTAGGGTTTCGGGTTTAGGGTTTAGGGTTTAGGGTGACTCTGCATGGGGTGGTCTAAGGCAGGCAAACTCAACCTACGGGCAGCTGCAAGGCGCGCCTCGTTCCCCGCCATATCACCTGTCAGGAGTCGGGGCAATCATCCAAGAAACTTCGAGACTCAATCTTCCTCGTCACTAGATCGATTCCAGCAACTCGGAGATTTTCACTGTTCCGAAGACTGGAAATTCTCGAAAACTCAGATCGCGAACTGCAATGCAAGCTGAGGCACCAAGAATCTCGTGCACAAGCATGGTGTAGCTGCCTGCGCAAGTCGGGGGTCCCTTGGGCTTTGCTCATTGTCCGGGATGGGCTTGGGCAACATACTGGAAAGATGTCCCAGAGTGGGACTACGGGAATCATGGAGATCCCCCAAGATCGCACTTGCACCTGCCTCTACCCCGAAGCCGCAAGTCAGGATCGGTAGAAAGGCCGCAGAAGAGCTGCAGCTCCTGACGTCTAGGGCCGGCGGAGTTCTTTCTCCCTCAACCTTTGCAACTTTCCGAAGAAGTTCCACAACCCGCCAACGACGAGACTGTTTCAAACCCCTTGTTCCCAAAAAACAGCAAATCATGCAATGCTGCGGATCGTTGCAAGTAGTGGGCATGCTTTGCCTCTGCAAGGGCACCGCCCACTACTAGTGCTTGCTGCTACTTCTAGCTAATACAGCTAACTGCTGACATAACTGCAAGAAACTACAACTGCTAGCTAGTCAGCGAACTATACTCCTGCTAGCCATACTCATTACCGCCACAACCACCAGCACCACTACGACGATGACGACCACGCTAGCCCTGGCACTGGCAGGTACAGCGAAGCTGCGGCACACACGAATTCATCCTTGGAATTGCGGGTTGCCGTCATGAGGAGCCCAGGGGCGTTCCCAAGCTGCATGACTTGTACAACAAAGGCGTTTGGATCAGGTCTTGCTGTTGTGGCTAGCAGTATTGTGGTTGTGTTCATGACCTGACCTACTAGACCTGATTATGCCGATTTGATTTTGCTGCTCTGCATTCTTCGTGTTGCTATTGCCGTTATCACCGTCCAGGTTTCGGTGACTTGACGTTTGCGCAGCTTTTACCATTTTCAGTATATTGACAGAGCTGCAAGCCGTCGTCGTAACTATGTTTTGTGGCTTCGGTACACTCGGACATGAACCACCCGTTCGCGCTCACCCCACGGTGCCACGCTCCTGATCCCCGAGCTCTGCGCCAGTGAGGCGAACCGAAACGGCATGCTCCTCGCCTCATGGCAGTGAGCTGGAGAAGAGGGGCTTCGGAACGCCCTGGCTAGGAAAAGCACAAAGGCTAGCTTCGTGATCATTGCGTGTCGTTTCTTGGGGCCATCTGAGAATCCGCAGTCCCGCCTTCCAACGAAGACGGAAGGGATCCATGCCGACAAAGCCGGCAGCCATGTGAGTTATGAGCTTAACGTCTGTTTTGCCCAGTGCCACACGGAAAGCCAAGCTGCGCCGGACCTCCTGCACGTTGGGCAGCCTGCAATATCATGGAGTTACCATTTTCCATTCTCTACCCGCACAAACGTCTTCAGTGACAAGGCTGCCTCTGCAAACTCTTGTACACACGCGGCCCTGTGCCCAAGATTCCACCCCATCCAGTCCCTATTGAATTCTGCCTCATGCGCCCCAGAAACGACCAAGGAGCTGCTTTGTACGCAACTTGCGAGCAGACCCTCTTCACACTTCGAAGGCTTGGAGAGTCTTCGCCAAGGCTCGCTGCCCAGGAGGGGAGGATCCGGCCGGTGCTGGATGTCTCACCGCGTGCCTTCACACTGCAGGAGCAAAGGCTTGAAAGACACGAAACCCTCCGAACACTGTCGACAGAGTCCAAAAGTAAACAAAACAAGAAACGGACTTGATACGGAGCCTGAATAACCAAAAAAATATCTTCTTCAGCTTCCCTGATGTACCTCGGGAAAACTTGACCCTGCAGCTTTCGAAGCAACCGTCAAGGTCGCAGGCTCCGATGGGCGAAGGTGCTGCGGTCCCACTGGAGGAAAACCCCTGCCTTCCCCCTATACCACTCTGCCCCCTGATGACCCACGGACCATTCATAGGGAGGGGGTAAGAGGGAGGGGGGCAGGGGACGAGACTGCCTCGTCAGCCCTGATCAGGTCCTTCTTAGGGGTATCCCCGCCCCCTTACAACCCTCCCCCAAATACCCCCAACCCTAAACCCTAAACNNCCCCCCCCCCCCCCCCCGCAAAAAGGGTCCTTCTGTAAGAAATCCGGGGCCTCAGCCTCGAAGAACCCGACGGCTCTCTCCACGGAGCTAGTATTGCTCTCCTGCAGCAACGGGGCTCATGGAATGTCGAGTTTGGGGCGTAGATCTTAAGGTAAAAATGGTTTGCCAAAAATGTGTATGTATACATATATATATANNATATATATATATATGTACACACTATATAAATATACACTCCATATATATATATATATATATATACATATTGAGAGAGTGTTTAAGGGTTTAGAGATGAGGGTCAAGGTTTGAGTTTTTCGGGCTTCGGTCCCAGCCCGCGCGACTGATGGTCAGTTGCTAGGTTTTCTACGACCGTTACACAGGCTAACCCTCCAGTAGCCACAACAAGACTCGTCATGTACTCGAAGAACAAGTCATGGGAAAAGCGTTTCAAAGGAGCAAACGACGCTGCTGGTACACCGAAGTTACAGACCCGGTGCTGAAGCAGACCGTGCCAGCTGGCCAGCTGCATGCTAAGCTGGTTCGCGCAGGTTTGACGTGGATTCATATGCACGTGAGTCGATGTGATTAAAGGACCTAGTTCCACCAGAATGGGAAATCCACTTAGCACATTCCTTTGCTGCAACTCATGTAGAACCGTTGCAGCTACTAAACTAGTTCACCAGAATCCATGCAGCACAGAGCCCCATGAAACACCCTGCACCTGAAACCCTTAACCCCTCAAGCCCTAACATAGGGGCTTTAATACTTAGAATAGGGTTTTGGGGGTATTCTTATACTATAATTATAATAAGGAACCCCAGAATAATATAGGTAAATATATTAAGACCCTAAACCCTAAACCCTACCCTAAACCCTAAACCCTAAACCTTATAAACCCTAAACCTTATAAACCCTAAACCCTAAACCCTATATCAGACCCGCTCATTCCCTCAGAGCCGGTCTCCACGGCATCGGCAGCCCGCGCGCCAGCGCGGAGGCAGAGTCGCGCAAGGAAGCACACCGGGCCGGTGCCTCCCAGTTTAGGGTTTAGGGTTCAGGGTTAAGGGTTTAGGGTTTAGGTTTTGCAAGGTTTAGGGTTTAGGGTTTAAGGATCCGGAAAACCCTTCTAGTGTTGTAGTATCCCAAACAATACTCCTCGTCGTAACCCCCTGCTAGAGTAGCAAAAGTATCCCTTATGAGTCGATGACAGTATCGCCTAGAGTACCCGGTGGGTCTTTTACCCAGCATAGTAGGTGCAGCCTGAGGATGCGGGACTCGAGTCAATAAGCCGAGGGTCCACAGTTGACGATGTGCACACAGCGCTTCGACACATGTTTGCGGAACCCCGTTAGGCAGAGCTCGGATGAAGTCTGAAGTGCAGTAGGCGTCAGCTGCCACTGTAGTATTGCGCAAAGCGGCCATTCACAAGGCATGTCATCCTAAGGATAAGACTCCGGAACCCACCAACCATGGTGCTGCTGACAGGCATTTGCACATGAGAGGCCGAAAGCTTCTGATGTGCCCCGGCCCCGATGCCTATGTCCAGCACAGTTTTACCCTTTGCCGCAGCCCGGATTGCTGCTGCATACGGGTCAACTCCTGAGCAGTCGCACAGCGTTCGCTCACGGATTCGGGTTTATTTTTCCCTTTTGCAGGCTCTTTTTGCTGCCAAGGACTCAGGGTTTAGAGTTTAAGTAGCGACAGTGTTGCCAAACTGACAAGCCTGCATCCTCTTGTTTGTCTCCAAGAAGACTCCGCACGAGTACGCGCGAGTCGCTCCTCGAGTGCTCACCTCAAGTGCTCGTTGGCTTGTAGCCATCGCCATGGAACCTGCATCTGGGAGGGTCCTGTCGCCAAAATGACACCGTACTGCAGTTGCAGAAGCTTTGTGGTTGTGCTGCGCCGATCGACAAGCGCTGTCCAACGAAGCGGAAGCTGCGAATTCCAGTGCTACCGGCAGATAAGAAGCCGAATGTGACACCTGCCAGACAAAGGCCACAAACAGGGCCTATCCATCGGTGCCCCCGACAAGGCGTCTGGATCAGGCTGCCAGGCTCAGGCAGACTCAAACAGCCGAGTGGCGGGTGGCATCGTGGATCAAAGCTTCGTGATCGAAGCGAACCTGCAGGGAACCACAAGGCCAGCTCGATAACGGGCAAAATGTTGAGGCCCCTTTAGGTACCGCTCCAGGTTCCTAAGGGCGGAGCATGCCGCGTGGCTTTAGGATGAAGAGGACGAAGATGAGTCAGCAAAACCGGACGACGACGACGACGGTGATTGCGAGGATGGTGCTGATGGACTATGAGTAGGGAGGAGCAGGAGGAGCGCGAGGAATTATGATGTCGATCACCCGACGACGGCAACGACGTCAAATACTGCTACGCTAGAGTTGCTGCTCCTGCTACTTCCACTGCCACTGCCGCTTACTGCTACTCCTACTGCTACCGCCACCGAAGACTCCTGCCACTGCCACCGCTCTCCTGCTGATGCTATTATCAAAATAACACTGCTTGATGATCATGAACAAACAAATTGAAGCAGGGACTCGGACCACTCTATCGCCGGCCTTAGACTCGCCGCCCAAGGTTCCATCCATACCCTCTGCAGAGGTCGTCTTCAGGGTCAGGCACTTCCCCTCCAAAGACCTCGATGCTTTGGGGTCTCAAGCAGGCTTCGAGGTTCCGGCTTTAGGGCGGCTGCTCTCTTAGATTATGCTCGCCTTCTCTAAGGGGTCGCACTCCGAGGCGCAAAGTACCCAACCGCGGCCACTTGCTCCTTAGAGGGTGAGCTTTCGGAAAAGTTTTCACAAGTCCGACTCAGGAGTTCTAGGTGGACAATGACCCGTTGTGTCGATGATGTAAAGTGCAGCAACCGACGAGACCAAGAAGCCAATTTTATGGGCGAGCTCTGCCCTGAAACTCACACATATGCTGAGCTTCCCGGTATGTCACTTTCCTGATTACGTGCTTCTGACTTCGCTTCCGACTATTGGTAGCAAGACGCTTTCTGTTGTTTGGTGGTATGCTCGGGCGCTTTCTGAGACCACCGAAGACCTAGTGGTCAGAATCCGCAAGTCTAACCCTAAGCACTACAGACCCTAACTAGACGCATAAACAGGGTAACACTTCAAGAACAATACTAGAAGTAGAGGTCGTCGTCATCGTGGTGGTAGTGGTAGTGGTAGCGGTAGTTGTAGTGGTGGTAGTCGTCGTAATAGTAGTAGTAGTAGTAGTAGTAGTAGTAGCAGTCGCAGGAGTAGCAGGAGTAGCAGTAGTAGCAGTAGCAGCAGCAGCAGCAGCAGTAGCAGTAGCAGTCGCAGTAGCAGCAGCAGCAGCAGCAGTAGCAGTAGCAGTAGCAGTAGCAGTAGCAGTAGGAGTAGCACTTGTAATAATAATAATAATAATAGCAATAATAATAGTAGTGGTGGTGGCTTAGGTCGTGGCGGTTGTGGTTATGGCTGTGGCTGTGGCTGTGGGCGTAGCTGTGGCTGCGGCGTTGCTGCAGCTAATGGTGGTGCTGGTGGTGGTTATGGTGGTGGTGCTGGTGGTGGTTATCGTGGTGGTTATGGTGGTGGTGGTGGTGGTGGTGGTGGTGGTGGTGGTGGTGGTGGTGGAGGTCGTGGAGGTCGTGGAGGTCGTGGAGGTCGTGATGGTCGGTG